CAGTGACCTAACAACCGACAGACGGGAATGCCGTGCGGAATCGAACGAACGTAATAAAAACATTTCGACTCGTTTTGCCGCACGAGAAACAGTATAAAACCGCTCTCGAAAATTTCCACGATTTTTCGCGCTACTCTCGTTGTTCTATTTTTTTTCTACTCGCGAGATAACGCATACGTAGGTTGTGATCGTTAATGAATTTGAGAGAATGAATGTCCTCGTTCATAAAACAAAACAAAATAAAAACATAAAAAAAAATTATGATCACATGTATTTTGTTTTTCTCTATTTTCTTTTTTTTTTCTTTTCTTTTCTTTTTTTTTTTTTTTTTTTTTTTTTTTTTTTAATAAAAATTTTCGCAAGTTTGCGAACGTTCATCGTTCTATTGATTCTTTCGAAAGCGAATTTTGAATTCACTTGATCATAAGTTATTTTTTCTAACTTATTTTCTTTATAAAACATTGGTGCATTTCCGAAGGAGTGAGAGAGAAACTGAGAGAGAATGCATTTCTTTGAAAACTTTGAAAATAGTAGATCTAGTAAGAAAAGAAAAAAAAAAAAAAAGAAAAAAAAAAAGAGAAGAAAAAAATAGGCGCTTATTGGCAAAATGCATCGATTCGTGTGCGTACGCACGCGCGTTCTTGTGTTCTATGCGATGGTCATGTACGGTGGAACGATGATTGACCTCTTGCGGCGTACCGTAATCGAATCTCTCGTAATCTTCCCTGCGGCCGTTGATCGCGATCGATGGTTTTGTGCCGTTAGTTCTCTACGTGCTCGCTCTCTTTCACATTGCCGTCCTCGTTCTCTCGTTGACGGCCAAGGCTTATCTCTATTTCTCTACCTCATTCTTCCTACAAAATGTAGTTGAAGTAATTAACGTGTCTACGCGTAAAGTCGACGGAGATAAATAACGCGATAATAAATTTTCTTGATCGTTCCTTCGACGAGTCTCCCATTCCATTGTCACATCCATACGACATTATTAATAAACTAAATTAAAATTTGATTTCTTTTACGTTAATTATCACGATTATATTTATATTCGTTTTGATTTATTTAATTCAACTTGTTCAATCGCACATAGAGAAATCTAAAGTGTTGTTACATTTATAAAAAAAAAAAAAAAAAAAAAAATAGTAAACAAATAAATAAATAAAAAGAAAAACAAATCCGTCAAATATTTTTTTTTTATCACAGAGGTGCGACAATTTAAAAGAAATTATTTGACTATTAAAGCAAATAGACATTGTAGACAATTTGCCAAAAATTTATAATCAAGAATTTTTACTCGCAACTCAGGTTGCCTCGCTATATATAATAGCATTTTATAGTATTTACCGTTCCTTTTTATTTCACTTGTATACATGGCTAATGCCGAAAAAAAAATTCTCTCTCTTTCTTTCTCTCATAGAGAGATGATATTTTCTCTTGTTTGCGGACACGCGTTGACTCGTTTTCTTTTTTCTTCGTTCACCACGCGCTGACCCAGGACGATTATATATTTTTTTTTTCTTTTTTTTTATGCTCCTTGTGTGTCGAGAAATCACAGGAACGCGCTCGCACGCTCCCTTCGGGGTGGATTATTGTATTTGTAAATAATAGTAGATATTGTTTGCTCACTTGGGACCGTGACGGTGAGGGGTGGTCCGCATCTCAGCAAATCGTATTAACTTTTCTATCCTTTTCTCCTTTCTTCGCTTGTTTGCCGTACATTCGTCAATTTTCTTGAGATAACGCAATTTTTTTCAGTTATCAGCCAATAATACTACTAATATTACTAATAATAATAATAATAATAATAATAATAATAATAACGAGGAAACTTTTATCGCGTTAATTTTCTTCTTGTAAATATTTATACACGTATATACACAAAAGTCAACGTACGGACGATCGACGATCGATAAACAGTCGACGTAATTTCGTTCGAGATATACAACTTCCTTGGCACTTACTTCAATATCAGACACAAAGCGAATACAATGGATACTCACGACAAAGGAAACCACGAAAGAGAATAGAAATAATTCGTTGTAAGGAAATAACGTGAAATAAACCGGGACTATTATCATCCATCGTAATTAACTTCTCCTTCTCATAAGAGGGGAGAGATTCTCGTACCACGAGGTGAAGTCGTATAGCAGGTACAAAAATAAAAGGCAAGAAGACGATTTACGCGTGGCATTCTGCACGCGACGTCCAGCCAAGAAGGGGACGACAGTCAGAGGCAGCAGAGGTATAGGCAAGAGGCAGGGGGGCAATGGCAGTCGGTCTACCGAACAGCCGGGTGGGTATCCCTCGAATCATCGACAGGTGCCGTGTACATAACTCGCCGTTTGGATATATCTGGCATATGTCCTTTCTCGGACGTGGAATAAAGAAATTGAAGCTTGACGGCTGTCGTCTCTTCGACTAAAAGAATCTCCATCGAACGCATATTTATTTTTAGAATGAATAAAAGGAAAAAGAATCATCATCTTCATTTTTTCCTTTATATATACACACACACACACACACACACATATACATATATATATGTACACATAAATATATCGTTATTAATATATCAATTTATCATGTTATAATCCAATTATCATATCGTTGATTTAATTGAGAGATTAAATGAATTGTCGTCATTAATTCAATGATTACATATTGACCTCTAAAAACTGATTAACTTTATATATATATATATATATATATATATATATATATATATATATATATATATATGTATATCCATTTTCTCTTTCTCTCTCATTTTCATTTACTATCAATTTTTCTTCGTTACATCTCGACTAATTCTTTACAAAATACGATCGGCAATCGTCTCTCGTACGAAAAACGATGCGCCAGCAAAAAGTTCTTTCTCATCGTCGTAAGATCGACGAGGTCCGTTTCTCTGTCTGGAAAAACGTTGGATAGGGGTAGAAAAGAAAAAGGAGAGGAAAAGACAAACGAAAACGAAACGTGGCACGACAAAGCGATCGACTCGCTCGATCACCTCGGGATACCTTGGGATACCTTGGGAGACACCTTCTGAGAGGATGCGTCTCGGGACAAGCGCGCTTGTTCGGCAAAAAAGCGCGTGACTCCAGGTGCGTCTCGTCTTTCTCGCTAACGATCTTATTTCCTTTTTTTCTTCCTCTCTTTTTTCCCTTCTTCTTCTTCTGCTGCTTCTCTTTTTTTTTCCCTTCCTTTATCTCCGTTCTCTCTGCGGACGTTGCACGCAATTACACGTTGGATATCTTAGTTGGAGGGTAAACGGAAGAAAAAGCATCCTTGATCCATTTCCTCTCTTCCACATTTCTTCCCTTATTTCTCTCTCTCTCTCTCTCGCGCGCCCTCTCTCACTCTTACTCTCTTTCTTCTTCTGCTTTTCTTCGTTTTCCTGAAGCACTCGACCGCACAAACACCCTTCCTTCATTTCTTCCTTCCTTCCTTCCTTCCTTCTTTCCACCTTCGAACCACTCATCATATTTTCTTTCTTCTCACTCCTCCTAATTTTCTATATCTCTCACCGAGGATCCCTTTTTTGCGACGACGAGTGGGTATCCTGAAAAAAGCGTGCCTCGCACGACGATGAGGGCGACGACGACGACGACGATGACGACGACGACGACGAGGACTACGATGACACGACGAGGAGGAAAGGACTGAGGGAGGAGAAGCGAAAAATAGAGAAGAAAGAAAAAAAACCAGGAAAAAAAAGGAAAGAAAGAAAGAAAAGGATGGTGGGGTTTATGCTTATAAGGGTGACGTCTGTTTTCATCCCTTGGCCGTGCATTCGTATCTATCGAGGTATAAACAGAGACGTAGATCGACCCTCCATTTTACGAACTTGTGGGCCTCCCTACTTTTCCCTACTCTTCCTCGAATGTCGAACATTAACGTCGGATGCAGCTGGAATGAGGAATGAGGCTGAGGGGTTATTCGTGATGATAGCGAGAAAGAGAGAGAGAGAGAGAGAGAGAGAGAGAGAGAGAGATGTGCCGTTTTGTAGGTTTGTGAGAATCGAGTAGGTGTATCGGTAATGATACGTTGCTTGTGCATAGCTTGCGCGTGTGCGCTCACAAAAGAGAGAGAGAGAGAGAGAAAAAGGAGGGTTGAAGAGAAGATAAAAACACGCGAAAGGGATGGATGATAGTGATACTAAAGGGTCGAGAGAAAGAGAAAGAGAAGAACGTATTCGCGAGAAGCGCGATTCTTTTCAGTCGAATTGTGTCGGGCGAGAGGTGCTAGCGACCGTGTGATAAATCGTCTAATTATCGGCTTTTCCTCGGCCATATTGTGCTCGTCGCTGATGTACAGGGAATGCACTTATTGTCGAGCAACGGCCCACCTCTCTCTCTGCTTCTCTACTTTTCTCTCTCTCTCTCTCTCTCTCTCTTGGCCCTCTCTCCTCCATCTTCCACCTTCCACCCTCTCCCCATGTATCCTCCCACGCCAACTCGATTTCTCGTTCTACTTTTTTTCCTCGCTCGTTCTTCGAGCGTATAACTATCCTGACGCTGCTGCTACTCTCAGCCATCTCTTGCTTGCCTTGTCGAGGCTAGTAACAACGCGATCGTTGCTACGGTAGTCTTTGTCTTCGAATTAATTGCTTTTAACGGGATGAGAATACCAGGGAAGGATGATCGGTCCGTGCTAACTTGCAGCGATATATCATTTTCCTAACCTTTTTCTTCTCCGTGTCTGTCTCTCTGTCTGTCTATCTCATTCGCGCGCGCTCTCTCTCTCTCTTTCTCTTTCTCTCTCTCTCTCTCTCTCTCTCTCTCTCTCTCTCTCTCTCTCTCTCTCTCTCTCTTTATCTCCATCTTCTCGATCCTTTGTCGTCGTCGTTGCTCTAAAATGTCTTTCATATTCATCGAGTGAAAAATATTTGTTTTCATAGCGTTTAGACACGTTGTCCTTCAGCGGGCGATCAAGATGAGACGTGTTATACACAACAAATACTCACGCATACATATAGCGCGCGCTTACATTCGCGCGTTTACTCGTGGTTATTGTCGAGTGAAAAGAAAAAAAAGTATAAGGACTTTGGAACGTTCGGCTAGTCATCTGACTCGAAACCGAGCTAGATTTATATCGTCAGTCGTTCGAAGAGGAGACGCATCAACTTTCTCACGCGAGGAAAAGTTCTCTTCTTTGTTTTTACTATCAACGCGTGTCGCCGAATACAACGAATTAATAACAAGCAGAAATAGTCGGCAGAGACATCGTAATAATTAATTTACTAACTAACTCGGATGAAATTATCGCCGGTACGTATTCACGGTTGGTGCTTAAAGACTATTAATATCCGTTATTGGCGATAATCATTTACTGTCTATGAAGAGAGTATCGTTGCTATATCTCTCTCTCATTCTGCCCTTACCGTTATATTCATTACGCTTTCATTAAGCTGTCACTGGCACACACAGCCATTTTATATCGAGTTTAGAGCGATATTTAATCCGTCTGTCTGTCTGTCCGTTGGACGGACAACGCTCGAAAACAAAATCAAATAGAATGACGAAAAGTATTTAATAAATAAACCGGCTCGTGCGATAACGCACCGAGTATCTATGTATGGCGTGTATATATGTAAATTTATCTACTATATATGCTCGCACATACGCACCCACACACACACACACACACACATCGAGATACTTCATTAGATCGATAGAATGAGAGAGACTGAGATAAAGAGAACATCTCTTGTGCTAAAAAGAGAGACGAGAGAGAGAGAGAGAGAGAGAGAGAGAACACAAGCTAGCATATATCTATACTTGCATACGTGCGTAGGGTGCGTAACGAAGAGGGAGAGTAAGTACTGGATCTAATGCGAGCGTAATGGCGATAACGACGCTGGCTTTCCAACGTGAGTTTCGTTAATGCTATCGGTAGCTGTTTACACGCACCGAAACGCCATTCTTGGCGATTAATACACGTGCATGCGTGTACGCTCGTCGTTAAATACGATGACTGGTCTCTCTCGACTATAAACCTCCCCTCTCTCTCTCTTGTACTTCCCTCATCATCAATGTTAACTAATATACGTAGGTGCGTACCTATGTATATATGTGTTTTGTGTTTATATATGTGTACATATATATATATGTATTAGACGTATAGTAATCACATTAAAGAAACTCGCATGTTACGCGACACAGATAAGAAAGATGTCGATGAACTTGCATTCGTTTTCCTTGATTCGTCGTCAAGATTGTACTTTCTTCTCTCTTCCTCTCCTCCTTTTCCATGCTCTTCGAAGATAATGATGAGGTGTACTAATGAACAAAAAGCAAATGAATTTGTATCTTTATTAATTTCTTCATTTCTATTTATTAATTTCTTTTCTCTCTCTCTCTCTCTCTCTCTTTTCCTCTTTGTATATATATATATATATATATATATATATATATATATATATATATGTACAAAAGTGTCCCTTCGATAAGAGAAAGAATTTTTAAAACGCGTATCGTTCGTATTATCTTTTTTCAAAAATCGAAACGCACGACTCTTATCGTTTGAAAGTGTAAAAGGTGAAAGTAGAGATAGAAAAGTAATAAAGAAAAAGAGATAGAGAAGGGGGAAGGGAAAGGTAATAGGAAGAGAACAAAATTTCCCTTCTCACGTTACTCTTTCGATTCACGTTGGGCGTTCAATATCGTCGCACATACTCGATTGCACGGTGAATAATAAAATCGATGCGTGGAATCGACACCAACCTGTCTCTATCTCTGTCTCTCTTTCTCTCTCTATTCTTCTATATGTACGTGTATATATATATATATATAATCTGTGCAATTTTCGTGCAAAACAGCTTTTTTGCCCTATCATTCCTGTCATTTTCTTCGTTTCCTTTTTTTTCTGTTTTTCTGTTTTTATTTTTTTTTTTTACTTTTTTTTTTTAACTCAATAGCCACTAAAAACAAAAAAAAAATAATAAAAAAAAGATAAAGCCCGTCGCTCATAACTCTCGTTAACAACATCGAGAAATTATGTACATATATAGGTAGTACGTATGTATATACATATCTCCAAACGATCGTCTGCGAAACTCGAACACGAGGACCATTATTCGCTATATTGGAGCCCAGGATTATCAATCATTGATCGTCCTTGAATATCGCGCAACAATGATCATCGTGATTACCGGACAACATCAAAGGACTTTCGCGTTAACCATGCGATTCTAAGCACGATTATCATCTAAATCGATCGACTCGTCCTATATGAGAAAATCGTCAAAATCTAATCTTTCTTTAAAATATTCATGAAATTTGATAGATTGATCGTATTTATTATAATAAAGTGTTTTTTTAATAAAAAGAAGGAAAAGTTTGACTTTACAATGAACGTTCTCTTTCTCTCTCTATCTCACTTTTTCTTTCTTTTACGATTGGATACGTCGTCGAGCGAGAAAAATCGAAAGTCAATGGTTGTGCGCGTTTTACTCGCACGGAAAATACCTTTCCCTTAGAACGAAGCGTGACAGCATTTGGAGGTAGAAATGGCCCTACGTAATAATAGCCCCCTTGGCTCGATATATGTTGTTTAATCCGATTGATCGAACGCTAAAGGGCGTTATTATCGCCTTACAATTTCCAAGTAGGACCGTTCGGCCAGCAACGAGGCATAGAGAAAACGTATGTGTATATATCTATGTATATATATATATATATATATACACACGTAAAGATACGTATACGTACATATGCCCGAATGAATGCGTTTCAGCAACCTTTGCACCCCGTAGCGCCTCGTGTGTGGAAGTTTGACAGGACGCTGGCGGGGTAACAATGCGCGCGCGCGTGCACGCTCGTGTCCGACGATGCAGTCGAGACTTCAGAAGTCAACCGGCTATACGTGGCCTCCCGCCGTTCTGATCAGCTCCCCGGTGTTATGATCGTTCTATGATTGAAATTTTTTGATTTGATTTACGTCTACGTTATGTGACTGTGCGATAATATTTATGCGTATCTTTTCCGATATTTATATATAGTGAAAATTGAAGAAAAAGATTGACACCGACGAGAAACTGATTTATTATTATCGTGATATAATGATCGACGATAAGGTGTGTAAATCGTTTTTCCTTTCTTTCTTTTTCTTTTGCCAATCAATTTCCTTCTTGATACTCATTTTATATGTAATATTATTTTTAAATAAGTGTAACATTCCATTTTTAATTCCCGCTAAAGGTACATTATACCATATGTGAATGTATGTATATATGTACTTAAATTGTATGAGAATGACCTATAAAAATAGTCTAAAGAATGCTTGATTTTCCATGAAAACGATATTTGCATCGATGTATGTAGTACGAACGTGTTGGTAGCATGTTGAGACGAGAGAGTTGGCAGTGATGGTACGCCAAGGGGTGGGTTTAATTCATGAAAGCATTGAATACGAGTTTAATGCTAAAAGTATATGTATATGTATACTTGCGTGTATATATGCATACATACATACACATATACATATATATATATATATAGTTTCTCTAGGATAATTTATATACGGGCAACCCCGAAGAGATTATCGCGTACTTTACGATGTTGCCGAAAGCCCTTCCTTTTTGCTACTTTTTATATTTTCTTGCCTTTTCAATTTTCGAGATTACGTAATATCACGTTTGTTTTAGATTTACATGCATGCGAAAGACTTTATCGTGTCATGGCAATTTATTATTAAACGCGTAGATACACGCAACGTGTTAGGGATAAATGTGCCAGGCGATAAAATTATTTTTTTCTATTATACAATAATTCTTATAAAGATTAAAAAATTAAACGAGTTGCTCGCAATAACAGTTAATAAAAATGATTGTAGAATAACACGGAACAATGTTAAAGCTTTTATTTTATTTTATTGTTTAGATCGAGCGACCAGTGGTAAAACGAGGTCTGCATACGTGGCTTGGACAAGCATGCACCAAGGTAAATATCGATTCTAGTTAATATACGATCCAAAGGTCTGCGAACGTCGCTCTAGACACGTCGTACTAACCTACGTGGCTTTCGTCTTCGCGATCAGGGAACACCTCGGACTCCCTAGATTCTAACAGCACAGCGGTTTTTACCAAATTCTGACCCAAATCCTCGTGGACTCGCATACGATCGATAAGCCACCACACAATCGTGTTGTTGGAGTCCATTTCGTAGAGAGCGTTTATCTATTAAAACTCCTATTAACAAACGTTTCGCGAAACCGTTGATTATTGTTTCGAACCTTTCGACAATAGTTTTTCGTTGAACGTTCGCTTCCCCGCTTCCTCCCTCCCTCACTCTCTCTCTCTCTCTCTCTCTCCCACTTCCACAGCCGTTCCCATTCCCCCTAAGAGATAATTCAACGCTTCGTTTTCGGGATTAGCTTCGTCGAATCTCCGTACGGCGAATCTAACGAGATCGATCAATTTTTCATTCTTCCTTGAAATATTCACGGAACGCGGATAGCGATCTCTCTAAACACAACTACGGATAAGATATTAATCGAAACTGATATACCTATATCGTTACTGTCGATCAAATTTTTCGACGATCAATTTTTCTTTTCCTTCTTTTCATCTCGTATTTCTCTCCCTCTCTCTCTCCCTCTCTCTCTCTCTCTCTCTCTTTTTTCTTTTTTTTCCTTCTCTTTCCTCAATATTCCTGGAGGAGGGGAGATTTGAAACTCAATCATGTCGCACTTTCACGCGAGTTCAATGGCATAAAAGAGTTCTGAAGCGAGCCAATATGGTCGATGACAATCGCAAAATTTTCAGTCTGCACATCCACCGACCTCTCCATCAACTCCCTCTTCCTCTCTCTCTCTCTCTCTCCCCCCCTCTCCCTCTCTCCTCATCCCCTATTGTCGTCCGTTCACGATCGGCAGCGTTGAAGTATAATCCATGACGCGCTCGCCGCGTAATCTGATTATATACGCGATAGCTGGTAATTAGTTGTATTTGAGCTCGTGAATCGTGACCAAAATATCTTGTATACCTTCGATATTTAATCGCGTTCGGTAAAGCATTCATGAGAGAGATGGAATAATCAAAATACGATGATATAGGATATAAAAAAAGAAAAAGAGAAATATTAAACGATGAATTAATCGCTATTTAGGACATCGTTTGTTTAGTCAAAGCGACGAAGAATATCATCTTCTAGATTGCACGAATACTTGATGCTTCGCGTAATAATTTCTTGGAGAATTTCTACATCGGTAGTACAGCTATGAAATCTCACGGAAACTTGTAACACGGATCGGCACGCGGAAGTTTCTTCGTTATGATCGAACCTCGCGATTCACAAGCACTTTCTTATATATAGATATATATATATATATATATATATATATATATATATATATATAACATGTGTATATATATACATATATATGTGTGTGTCTACGTATATATATATATATATACATATGTGTGTATGCGTGTATATAAATTATATCCATATAATTATAACCTAATTATATCGAGTAATATCAATATTTTCAGGGTAAGATCGTTATCTTTATTCGTATGATTTTTAAATAAAACTCACATAATAATTTTAACGAGATATATAGAATCATATCACTGACGTTTCGTTTGTATACAGACACAACACACACACACACACACACACGCACATATATTATAGTTGAAATTCGTCAGTGCCAACGCAAATCGTGGAGAGTAAACACGACGGATATCTTGAGAAAAAACAAATAGGAATATCCGTATGTGAAATCAGAGGAGAAGGAGGAAGAGAAAGATAGAGAGATTGGTGGGGATGGGGAAGTTGAGGAGGAAGGTTGTCTCAGAGAACTGACATCTTCTCTCTCCCTCTCCATATATATATATATATGTATATATATATATATCTTTCTCTCTACACAACTTCGAAGATATCTAGTTGTTTATTTCAGAAACGGCGTCTATACGACGAGAAGAGCGTTCGCTCGCGTATGGGAAATCCTAAAAGGGGGTGAAAACGAATATGGAAACGTATAAGGCAAACCTTTGAGATAGATAAGAAAATACTCAAAGGACATATATATATATATATATATATATAGTAGTACATATATATATATATATATATATATATATATATATGTATCTTACCACTTTGAGCAAACGACGCGATAAACACTTTACTTTCTACAACTTTCGTATTTTTCTTTCTTTTACTTCTTTTTTTTCTTCTTTTTTTTTTTTTTTTGAAACCCTTAAAATAATATCGTCGATATCTGTTTTATCCAACCATTTGGAATAAATATTTCTAGAAGAATTGTTTACAAACCACTTTAACATATCGTAAATAATCTATTTCGAATAAATGCGAATGAATTTAGCAACGAGGAACATTTCTCGGTAATCATGTTAATCGTCAAACGATTATTCCAACGTTGCAAATTTTCTATCATCTCTAACTACTTTCTCTTTCTCACTCTCTCTCTTTTTTCCGCTCTTAAAAACTATCTCCACCTACCGAATACGCTCGTCCTCGAGGAACACTCGCTTCCGTGCAACGCGACGTTACTCGAGGATAATCCCGTTGTTTTGCATTATCCTTCCCTCTTTCCACTTCCACCCATCCTTTCCATTATCTCAATGAGAGTCCGGTGCATTTCGCCTCGCGATAAGACTCACCTCTTCTCTCTCCTCTCTCTCCCCCCCTCTCTCTCTCTCTCTCTCTTTTCCTTCCTCTCTTGTTCTTTCGCTATCTATTCCCTTTTCTCTTTTTTTTCTTTCTCTCTCTTTCTATCGTAAAAAGGGCCGCGTTCGACCGAGGCTTAACGAAAAATTGCTTTTCCGTTGAATTACCTACAGTATCGTGATTCATGCGCGAGAACATAGAGAACGTGAAGAGAGAGAGAGAGAGAGAGAAAGAGAGAGAGAGAAACAGAGAAAGGGAGAGAGAAAGAGATAGGAAAATTGAAGAGAGAAGAGAGCGAACGTAAACGGATCTTATCTCGGTCGATGAAGCACGCCGTTCGATATTCCGATATATACACACGCCCTCTGGGCGAGAATCTAACATAATAGAATTCCTCGTTATATAAATTTCGGTGCACATTTTTCTGCCATCCATCGATCTATCTTTCTCTCTTTCTTTTCCACGAATTTTCAAGTTCCTCTTTCATCTCCCATCCACTCGTACATTTGACTCTCTTTTCCTCTCTCTCTATCTCCATCTATCTATCTATCTATCTATCTATCTATCTATCTATCTATCTATCTATCTATCTATCTATCTATTTCTCTTTTTCTCTCTTAAATTCGTGTGCTACGATGTATCGTTTTGCTCCCTCTCTACCACCTTGCCTTCTATGTCTCTATCTCTCTCTCTCTCTCTCTCTCCCTTTCCTTGTTTTTCTCGGCACTTTGCTCGGCGAAACGTTCGACGATTCTTCAAACGCACGCACGGTAATGGAATTCGCGGCGCAACGGCGCTCGTTTCTCAAACGATTTTATCCTCCCCAGCGTGTAAAGGGAACAACGGACGCCAGAAGACGACACAAAGTGTATTCTTCTCTCTCTCTCTCTCGCACGTGGTCGATAAAAAGAGATTCGCTTCGTCGATTAACTTCCGTTTTTCTCAGCGTTTTCTCCTGCCTCTTCTTCTTCTTCTTCTTCTTCTTCTTCTTCTTTCTTCCTTCCTTCTTCATCCTCCCTTTCCTTATCGTCTGTTAGTTGCTCGTGCGGAACGACCGCGTGGCTTGTATGATATTGTCCATCTCTCTCTCTCTCTCTCTCTCTTTCTTTTCTTCTTCTTTTTCCGCTACTTCACTCGGCACCCCCACGTACCCTTTTTCTTCCTTGAAAAAGAAAAGAACTACACTTCGCGCGCTCTTGGCGTGGATCTTTCATCTCGAGACATTTTTCCCTCCTTTCCCCTCTCTCTCTCTCTCTCTCTCTCTCGTTCTTTCTTTCTTTCTTTCTTTCCTCTATTCTTTCAGTCCGCTTTAGGAGTCGGAGGACGTATTTTTGTTTGCATTTAATTTGCGCTCGGGTATCAGGTACGCAGCGCCCGGGAAAAATGTTTGCTGAGGATTTTTCTTGCAAAGTAGCGGGCCACCCTTTGCGATTTCGAGACCAACTTCCTAGAAGGAGAGCTTTTACGTATGTACATACGTACGAGTGTCTCCTTTATTTCTTTTTTCCTTCTTCTTCCTTTTCCTCTTTATCTTCGTCTTCTTTGTTTTCTTCGTCTTCGTCGCCTTCTTCTTCTTCTTCTGTCTGTCTGTCTGTTTGTTTGTCTGACGGAGATTTCGACGAATTTTACATTTCCTTTCGCTTTGATTTCGATCTACGAAGATCCGACAAATTTGGTTGAAAATCAGTTGTACAAAAAAAAAAATAATAGGATAGGATAAAAATTTTGAAAAAAGAAAATATATATACATTTCGATTATATATATATATATAATCGAAAGCATAGATAAATCGGATCGTTTTATTCCGCGTGAAATAATTTATAGGGAATTCAAGAACCGGCAAATAACCTCCATCGGTCAATTTACGAACGAATAACTCACGCACGAAACTTTAATGGTCGCTTCGCAGCGTCCCTTTTTCTTCAAGGACTTCGTTGGTCAATATCTCTCGTATGGAATTGGTCAAACGTTGTTAACGATAAGAAAGAAGGAACGATATAAATCGAGGTAGTAAATTGTAAAATAATGCTCGAACCATAAGTCACTTTGGAGAGCTTCATTTTCCAAGGAGTTATCGAAGCGTCTGTTGATTCGACAAACGTTTGCCGTTGGTGGGCGACACGTAGTGTACCGTTCTATAATCTCCTTGTAGCAGTATAGTAGTAATAGTAGTAGTAGTAGTAGTAGTAGTAGTAGTAGTAGTAGTAGTAGTAGTGTAGTAGTAGTAGTAGTAGTAGCAGTACCAGCAATGGTGATGATAGTGTACCATACATCGAGTCTCTCCTACTCTTTCTCGATT